TGGAGTGTAGTTCCAAAATTATGTGCGTCTTTGATGGAAAAGTTATAACTTGTGGGATTACTAACTATTATTCCTCATATGATATTTTAAAATGTTTTATTCTACACTCTTTTATTTCTTTTTCATCAAACCTTTTTATTGACAACAACAAATTTGTATTGAGAAATGATAGTGACACTTCACTTGCAATTTCAAGGGATTTTATGAACACAAAATGTGAAATGACAAAACTTCCGATGTTTTATCATTACAAAAATAAAGTTTGTATGATCAAGTATGTGCGCTATTTTGAGGTGAAAGCTGGCTATGGCGACTTTTCTGTGGGCGTATTTGATCAAGACAATTGGACTGATTTTCAAAATAGGCCGATTGGATCAAACGATAATTCAATTGGGTTTCACAGCAATAAATGGGACATATATTCGAAATATATGTATGAAAATGGTAATGAAACTGATATTTACGATTGCGACAATTTTGTGAATTCAGTCGACAAAGTAAATGTAGTTGGATGTGGTGTATATATAACATGGAATTATCACAACATCGTTTTCTTCACATTAAATGGGCATTTTGTAGGACGTTGTAGAGCCGACTTTATCAATTTTGGTGCGGCGGTGTGTATAGCCAATACATCATATTTTGAAGTGAACGACGGACAAAATGAAAATTTTCTTTTTAACCCACTCTTCTTTTTTAATCACTTGGAGAGACAATACATGGTGACTGTTTCTAAATATTTTAAAACAGCTCGTGACTTTGCAAATATCAGTTTGGTGTGTAAAAAGTACAAAGAAATTTTATATGATTTGAACGAAAATTATGTACATCTTCCTGTTAAGTGTTTTCAATATTTTAAAGCACTCAAAACAGTCAACGTGTGGAGTCACAAAGACTTTCAAGACATTTTTAATTACTATTTAAAATCAGAGAAACCGCTTCCACAATTTGTGATTTGGTTTCCAGTCACACACGACTATGCAAAGGAATTTGAAGGTCAAAATATTGTGTTTAAAACAATTTGTTACACAAGTTCGGATTTTGATAAATATGGTTCAAATATTCCAAATAATGTATGTGGAATAGCCGCTTTAAATGATGTTGATGATGTGACATGTGATAACCAAAATGTTATTAAAATTAACAAAAAAGTGCTTCAAATCAGATCTTTTGTAATACCAGACAATGTAACTATGTTAGGATTATTGGAGTTCAACAGTTTTACAAATCTTTGTGATATAAAAATGTCTAAAAATCTAAAAAGAATAGGAGCATATACTTTCAAGAATTGTATTTCTTTGACTTCAATTGTTTTGCCAGAAAATTTAAAACAAATTGAAATGTTGGCTTTTCAAAATTGCAAACAACTTTCTAAAATAGAACTTTCATCTTCTCTCACTTATTTGGGAATTGCTGCTTTTAATAATTGTGAAAAACTTAAGGAAATTGAACTTCCAGAACAACTTGATTATTTGGACGAAGGGGTGTTTTCTAGTTGTGTTTCACTCACAAAAGTGGTCATTCCAAAAAGTGTTTCTTTCATTGGACGTTTTTGTTTTTTCAATTGTGGATTTGTGCATTTTCCTGAGATAAATGTAAATGTCAAAACACTCTCGTTTGGGTGTTTTGCTTGTTGTAAATCACTCGTAAAAATAAATATACCAGATACAGTGACTTTTTTGGAAGATGACTGTTTTTTTGGGTGTAAAAAACTGGAAACTCTCGTTTTGCCATCAAGATTAAAGTCAATAGGAAGATACTGTTTTTTGAAGTGCGAAAAATTGATCAATGTTAAAGCGCCAAAAACAGTCAAAACAATCAAAGAAAACGCTTTTCCAATAAACACAAATATCATTTTAGACAAGTAAATTGATTTTTATTTTTACATGCGTTGTTTTTTAAAAAAATTGTGCTTTTTTATATCTGAATTTGATACATTAAAATTATAATTAAATAGTAAAATGTTTGATTTTAAAAAATATTATTGGCTCTTATTATAATGAACAATTTTTATTTGATAATATTTTATTTTTTATTTTTTTAAATGTTTAGTTTTAATAATAGGATTTTGGTTTTAAAATTTATTTATTTTTAATTGACGAATTTGTCATTCATAAATAAATGGATTTATGTTGTTCAGTAGTTGTTTATAATATACAATTTGATTTCAATTCTATATAGCAAATAACACTTGTATATAAATACCAATCTACAATTTAATTTTAAAAAACTTTATCATGTATTTTACACTCATCACGTTGTTTTATTCAATTCTCGCTTTATCCCAACGATCAACAGACGTAAACCAATATTATTATCAATACACATGCGGAGATGATTTGACAATTATTAAAGGAACTACAAATAAAAATTACACCAACTGCAAATTTGTTGGAGAATTCAATTTTACAAATCCTAATGAAATGACTTCTTCGATATATTTCGATTCGGTTAGCGAGATCCTTGATTATATTTTACCTGATAATACAACATCAGCGACTTTTTACAACTCGACGTTTACTCAGTTACAAACATCTCATTTGACACTCAATCAGTTCACAAGTAACAAAACAGGCTTTTATCACAGTGACTTTTCTGATGTTGTTTTTGAGTTGCTTAAAAATTTCTTTACATATAACTTTTACAATACTATTTACACATCTACATTTAACACTATTGTGTTGTATAATTCTTCTTTTGAAACATTAAAAATTAGTTCTGTGAAGACGAGTGGATATCGCGATATCTCTTCCATTGAGAATTGCCACTTTTGTTCAACAGATATTTACGAATCTGTTTTCTCCAATTTGACAATTAAAAATAGTCATTTCAGTGAATTCACATTAGCAAATAATGTCTTATCGGGACTAATTGTTGAAAACACCAAGTTTTATTACCGAGATGATGACAATGTCCGCTATATCAACTCGACATTTGTTAATACCTCATTTTATCATTCTTATTATTATGAAAATGTGGTGTTTGAGTCGTGCAACTTTGTGAACTGCATTTTTTATTTAGATGATGTACATTCAGCTAAAAACATCGACTTTGACTTCGCCGACTGCTATTTTGAGAACTTCACTGTCAACAAACAAAAAGTCGATTTGTATAAAGGAAATGCCTGTATTGGGTTGAAAATAGGGTTTGTGAAACAATCAATGGAGATCGAAATTGCTAATGAAGATGATAAAAAGAGAACTCAAATTGTTTTACTTTCAACGGGCGTTGCTGTGCTTGGGGTCTTGTTCATAGTTGCTGTGATCATTATTGGCGTACTATTTAAATTGTTTATCTTATCACATAGAAAGCTACAAAAATTGAATTACAACGATTTATCTAACACAAAATAATCAAATTTAAAGGTTTTTTATTTTTAATCGTCATAAACTTAATTATCATGTAATTATAATATTAATACGTTTATTTTTTGTATGTTTTTTCCAATTTTTAATAAAATAAAACAAAACAAATGATTTTGCCAAACTTGATAAATAAAAATAATTTTTCGAATAACATTGTTCTGATTATTTTTAAAAAATCAAAACAGTATTTACTGATCGAGTCTTTGATGAAGAAAAAGACTCCGCTGATTATACAAAACTAAAAGTTACAACAAAACACTTTGTGTTATTTACTTAGTAGTTTTCGAGTTGGTATCAAATTGTGTAATTTGTTTTAAGTTAAATATTATGATAAAAATATTCAATTTTTATGACAAATTTGAGAAGTTGATAAATTGTTTTTCAAAACTCTGTACACTGGACACCCCAATTTATTGGACTTATTATTCCTAAATTATTTTTTCTTTGCTTAACCCTCATTTTTGGTTCAAATATTTACTCAAAAAAAACAAAATAACAAATTTGATTTTTTTTATTTTTACTTGACAAATAAATCTTGCATCAAAAATCACTTAAAATACAAAAAAACAAACTTGAGATTAAAATTTTGATTACCATAACACATTTTTTTGCCGAAAAACTTAAACACAACTTTATAATTCGATGTCAGTTTTTACAGAATCACCAAGTTGTGTTTTGGATAAAAATGAAAAGTACCAATGAGTAAAACAAGCATTGAGAGAAGATAAATCGGTTAAGACTATACAATTGAAATTTTTTTTGAACTGTTTATTTTATTTTAGACTCTTTTGATTAATAACCTTGATTGTTTAAATGTTTGTTTTATGTTATCGATGGCCATTTTTTAATGTTGAAATAAACAAAAACTTATTATTAGTTAAAGTGTTGCATTATTTAATGCAATAATGTCCGTCACATCGTTTGTTTATTCTTATATTGTCGTTTATCTTGTGTTTGTTTGAAACGTACAATTATACTCATGTTTAGTTACGAAATGGATCACTAACCAAATAACGAACCTGGAAAATCGGGGAAGATTTACACAAATTTAGGGTGATTTCCTGATTTTTTGTTCAATAATTGAAACTGTATTGATTTTTAAGAGTTTTAAACTGTGTACCGTTGTTGTTTCAGCAAAAAGGAAAATAAAAAATAAAACAAATAAATAATAATAAATAATGGGAAATAATGGGAAATTAAAACAAAGGGTTTTTATAAATTATGGAAACGGTACAGAGTTTTGAAATACTATTTATTAATAAACACACTTTTTTAAAATAAGTTATAAAAAACTATAAAATTTATAACTTTTAATTAATCAATATGAGTTGTCTACATTGTTAATACCCAGCTGAGTCAATTTAACATTTGTTCTTGGTATTGATTTATCTTCTGTTGTTAAATACTTTTTTTAGTTGTCAATAATTTACTGGATGTCTAACATTCAAGCAATTAATTTATTTTTAATTAAATTTAAATGAACTGCGTGAGTCACTTTTAATACTGAACGAAAAATGACTCATCAAATTAACTGAGTGAATAGAAAATACTACAATGGCTTCTTTGAAAACTCGAATAAATGGGTTAATTAAATGGTTGTGTTGAAGTCAAACAAGGTTGAACAAAAGAGTAATATTTTATAATTAAACAATAATTAATAATAATAAACTTACTATTATGACTCACATAAAATAGTTGTTCATTCATACTTTAAACAACATATTCATTTTTTATCCCGAAAAATAACCATTTTTAATACCAAATAATAAGAAAATTATACATTTATTTATATCTTTGCCCGTTTTATTGTAAATAATCCGCTTAATATCCAATAACTAAAATTTATCTAGTCACTGGTTTTTCCGCTATCTGTAATATAATATATTTGGTTGTTTTTTGTAATTTTACTATTAAAATTTTAAAAAGATTGTTTATTGATATTTTCATTATGTTAATTTAAAATCTTCAATAAAAATATTTTAACATATACCTTTTCCATTAATTATCGATAAGCCAAAATTAGCTTTTTAATTGGAATTGTTTTAATGTACAATTTTGTAAATTAAAAATAAAGTTTAAATTTACACACAATTTTAATGTTTTTTAATTGTATTTTTTGTTATATTTGTGTTTTTTATTATTTAGTAAAATATCCAGCCTTGTATTAAAAATATTGGGGTGATATTCCCGAATTTGTGGTAACAAAATAACTTATAGACAGGCGATTTCCCAATGAATACAAGTCGCTGCCACGTCATGATGCAATTAAGCATCTCGTCCATTAATTAAAATTTAACCAATCACATTAAAGCTGGTGATGCAATTTGTGTTATTTGGACAGGGTAATTTCCCCGATTTTTTAAACAAAAATTTATATCATTTTATACCAATAGTTTGTGTTAAAATTAATGAATATATAAAACCATTTTTTTATTTTTTTAAATTTTAAAGTGTGTAGAAAACAGTGCATGTTATAAGAATAGATTAATTTATATTATAATGAATAAAAACCCAACTACATTC